GGCCGGGGCTCGACGGCCCTGGCACCGCCTCGACGCTCGTGTTTGGGTCGTGCCCAAGCTGGGGACTGCTGCCTCTGCCGCCTGGGAAGTTATTTTAGGATGCAGATTTTACCCAGGCTGGAGAGACTGCCTTTCCTGAGAAAGTTTCTCATGAAATAATCCATCCAGACATGCAGCTAATTTAGCAAAAAGCCATTTCCCTGCAAACCAGGTTTGTCCCGGTTAGAAACACCTTCCGGCAGCAAGGGGCTGGCATGGCAAGAAACGCTCTCTCCCTGCTCCTGTGCCTGGGAGCAACAAGATGTGCCCAAGCAGGCTGCTTTTTTTATTTCTTAAGCGGGCTATTTTCCATTCCCCAAAATGCTGTTTTTCTTGTCAGCAAGCCCAGCCCCACCCTGCAGAGGGAAGGCATTGCTTGCTGAGCACTGGCTGGATGTGCCCCTTGTCTGGCACCCCGCTCTGTTTGATGAGGAATTTGGGGGTTTTCTTAATGTTTGCTTGCAGCAGCGAAGGCAGTTCCTTGTTGGAGCGATGGGGAGGGGAGCAATGCTTTCCAGAGCAAACCCTGCCTCAGCACTGGGAGCTGCTCTGCCCCCTTCTCCCCAGGGGTGCACGGTGAAGCTCTTGTGGGGGGTGTCCCCCCACCTCTGGATGTGTGGGAGCGAGCGCTGTCAAACCTGGTCTGATTTCAGGCATCTCCACCTTGTTTTGGGGTATAATGTTGACCAAGGGAGAGATGAGGAGCTCTGGCGACAGTGTTGTTAATTGATACCTGATGCATTGCCAGCCGCAAGATGAATGCGGGACAGTCCTCGGGGTTTTTTTAACCTCTTCCTCCACTCTTAAAATGGCAGGATGGAGGTGGGTAGGCTTTTCTCTGAAGTGTTGTTCCTTCCAAGTTATCACGCTTATCCTGGGGCTTTTTCTTCCCTTCTGGTCCTAATTTCCTGCCATTCTTGTCACCGAAGCTACCCGGTGTGGATGCGAGGGAGGAAGGGTCTCTTGGGCAGCCGGAAGGATGCCAGGGGCTCTGCACAGCCGCTGCTCCTCAGCAAGCTCACTTGCCCCAGTGTGCATTTGCAAAACAGCTTATCTTTTATAAATGGGCATTTTTGCTTCCAAAAGGAATAGCCCATCCATTTAATTTCGCTGTTAGGACTCCTGGTGCCGTGTCCTGCCACTCGGAGGCATCCTGACACCCATTCCCTGTGAGCGTTGTGGGGAGATGCTCCAGCTTCTCCCAAGGAGGGGTGCCTGTGAGCTGGGACCCGCCGGCTCCCCAGAACACCTCCCAGCACTGGTCTGGTCTGTGGCCAGTCCCCTCAGACCATCTTTGGTGTGGATGGGGAGCATGGACTTTGTTAGAGTTAGCGATGCTTTCTGTGGGACTGGCGAGCTGAAGGGTGGTTGAACACCAGGCCTTACGGTTTTCAAGCCCTTTTGTGTTGTTTTTTTAAACCAGTAGTCGAGGGGAATTTTAGGTTTCCCACCAAGCCAGTGCAGTTAGCAGCCAACCTTGCATCCCCAGCTGGGGAGGATGCCTTGGTCACCACGGAAGGACGAAAGTCCTTTTCATGAGGTGGTGTTTAAAGGCTGGACATGGCGCTGAGCTCCCTTGCTGCAGGGCGGCTGTGTCGAGATCTGAGCTCAGACCCCAGGGAGGTGTGAGAACGGGGTGCTCGCAGCCCTGTGGTCCTGCCAGCTGGTTAGCATGCAAGGGCTGCTGGGCTCCTTGTGCTCATTTGCTTACCATTTGCTTACCATTTGCCGAGGTCAGGCGCTGTTGATGCAAAACAAGCAGGAGGCAGAGCCCAGAGTTTGTCAGGCTCCGCGTTGTAAGAGCTTGCTCCAACACCCAAGAGGAAGAAAGGAAGCAATTCTCAGCCTTAACGGTGTTAACAAACAAGAAACTCTGATAACTTTTTAAAGTAACCCTTCTGCCCTGCCGGAGTATAAATAAACTGACACCCCTCTGGCTTCCTTCCCCTGGCAGCACAGGGGGAGTTTCACAAAGCTGCTGTGTTGAAAAGCAAAAGGAAAGGGCAGCCCTGCTGCCAGCTCCCTGGGGCGCCTTGGGAGCCCTCTCTGCCCAAGATGTTTTATTTTATTTTGGGAGGTTGTTTTTCTTTTGTGCATGCATTTTTGAAAAGAAGATGCCAAGGTTACGTGCTCAGTCCAGGGCAGCTCTCGATGAGGAAGCAGCAGCTGCTGCACAGACCGCATGTACAAATGGGTGCCTGACCCGGCAGAGAAAGGGTCCCTGTGTGTTTTGCAGGGGCATCTGCCTACTGAGGGGGTAGAGGAGGCCACAGGCAGCACCTGGGGACTTCATCCAGTCAATAAAACACGGGGCTGGTACGAAAAAAAAGCTTTTCTGTGCTGCAGACTCATCTTTGGGTGGCCGGTGGCGAGGCGATGCTCTGCTTCCCTGCCCTGCAAGAGGGAGCACTGGTGATACCGTTGTTACTGGTGCGGTGGGCAGTCCCAGCTCACCCTGCAGCCCGGAGTGGGGCTGGGCTGGGCACATGGTCCGGTGGAGCTGCTTCTCCATCCCGCTTTCGGTAGTCAGCTGGGCTTCAGCTGCTCTCCTGATTACCCGAGTCTGATAGCAGAGCTCAGTACATGGGGCTGAACTGACCACTGCTGCAAAGAGTCCCTGGGGAGGCTGAAGGAAGCCAGAGGGCTATTTTGAAATGTAATTAAACATAACCAAGGAGAAATTGGCTTACTTGGAGAAGGATCACCCAGCTTATTAGCTAATACAGCCCATGGCAGCCTTCCAGGTCTAGAGTACCACTGACTGCCTTACCAGAGAGGTGTCTAATTAAAAGGAAGAGCTTCCTTTAATGCCATTTTCCAGGCACTGCATAACTTCTTTTTTTTTTTTTTTTTTTCTCCCCTCTTGCTTGTGTTGAGGGGATGTGGTGCAGTCGGGGTGCAAAGAAGGGCAAGAGCAGAGGCAAGGTAGAAGTGAAAGTCTGTCTCGACAGTGGTGACCGGAAGGGAAGGGGTGAAGGAGTCAAGTATTTTCTTGCACAACTCGAGAGAATCTGTCATCTGTCCCCTGGAGTCTCCAAAGCCCGCATAAAGGTACTTGGCTTTGGTGACGGCGGAGGGAGATGGCAGCTCTCTGTGGTGGTGGTCCCATGGTGACAACTCTGCTGAATGCCTCATGACCCTCTCGATGTGACGAGGAGGGTGGCTGGGTACTGCTGTTCACAGGTTTAAATGGAGTGTGGAAGAGCTGGTGGTTCATGTGGCATGCAGCTCTGAAGCACGAGTTTGAAATAACTCCTTGGACTCACAAAGCAGCTTACATTTTGTTCTGGGTACAGGCTTGTGCCGAGCGCTGCTGAAATGCTATTAGTGACAGCAGCTAGCAGGCTGCTCCGCTGCAGAGCGTGGGGTTTTGGTTCGGTTATCGGTCTCCCTGGGAATCGCAGAGAGCCTTGCGAGCAGCGGGGATGCCATGCTGGCCCAGCATCTTCTTCTACCAACTCTGGGTTCGGTATCCTGGGACGATGTACTGGCAAGAGTATTTCCATGTGTGTTTGACCCTGCAGCTATTGAATGCTTGTCTTTGAAGGGCAAGGGAGAGGTTTTCTCAGCAGGCTCAGTACCTTAACCCAAATAAAAAAAAAGGCTTTCTGGGATGTGTTTCTGGGCTCTATGTCAAGTGAACACAGTCCTACCATCACTTGCAAAACGTCTTCTGAAGTCTCTGCGTGCAGGAAGTTATTTAAGCAGGTCTTTTGAGGAGACCCGTGCCCTGCCCCGTGGGGGTGCCCTATTTCAGTTGATGGGCTGGGCTGCAGTCACCAGGAGGGAGCATTGCTGGTGGCTGGAGGGGGGATGGCTTTGTTTTCCTGAGGTAACTGTAATGTCTATCTCCTGCAAGAGCATTAACCCACGTACGATGCCTTGAGAAACACTTTCATCCCGTACTGTGCCTTTCACTGTATCATTAAAAAGGGAAAGCAGTTGTATTACCATTGTAGTTAAATGCTTATGTATGGGGCCAAATGAATTTTAAAGCAATATCTGAAATTGTTTTTCCTCGCCGCTGAGGGCAATTAAACCCTGCTGGTAGATGTCAATCTACAGCGATACTTCTGTCTGCAGCAGGGACCAGGCCGCGGCAGGCGGAGAGCAGCCTGCAGGCTCGATGCTCCCCGTCACAGATCCCCGCTCCTGGATTTTGGTGCCGGATTCCCACTCTCCTCCCATCCATCAAGCTTTATTTGGCCTCTGGCATGTTGCTCCTTCGGGAGTGTTCCTCTGGAGCTTGTTTTGAAAAGCCCTGCAGTGTTGTGGGGCTGGTAACTATAGGCACCAGTGGAGAATTTCGCCCCAGCCGGCAGCTCTATTAATAGCTGCTGCTGGAAGGTGGCTGCGCTGCTGGGAGTGGAGCACGGACTACAGGCTCCCTGCCTCCTC